CCTGGATCACTCATCTGATCCTTCTTGTAGATGGGCATTACATTTGCTAGTTTCCAATCAACTGGGACCTCTCTGGATAACTTAATTGTCATGGTTATGCTTGGTGCCATACTACACAACTTTACAGGAAAATGGTATATAATACAACAAACATTTAGTCAACAAGATTGGCAATGCAGGTGACAGACAAGTATTATGAACTATATGAATGTAAAGAGGTAGCACTTTCTAAGTTTTTTGACTTAGGAAGGTGTAAAAGGCCTTTAACTGCCATGTATTCACACAAATTATTTGCAATTTTTAGCTACAACAAGGTAAGTTTTCTTATGCTAAGCACAAAATAAACTTTTTTCCTAAACGAAGAGTAAAGCAGAAGAACATTTTAGAAAGTAAATTTGACTGTATATGCACCTCTAGCTAAGCCAGAAGAAACTGTAAAGACATGCTAAGAACATGAATATTTACAAGCGCAAATACAGCAATGGTAAATTTTTTTATACTTCTGTGATATTATAATCACAGGTATTCTACTGTAGCAAACTGCATAAATAGTGATATCAGAATATGCAGACATTTCAGTGAAACACGGCTGCAGCTAATTCCAGTAACAGCTTCAACTTGCAATAGACCGATGGGTTGAAAACCAAACACAGAAAAATTCAGACTGCTAAAAATAGAAAATCAATGGCAAAAAAAGGGCTATATATAATAAAGCTCTGTAAAATGGACATATAAAAAAGCTTTTCAAAAATAACCAAAAATTCCCAACCCCTGCCATCAGTGAGAATATATGAAAAAAAGGTTAGCTTTACTGCCTGAAAACAAATGGCAAGTGTAATTTGATATTATGGTGTGTAACATACTGGAATTCCTTATATATTTCATAAGAAATCTGTTCAAAATAAATTCAATCAGAAAGCAAAAGCTTGCACAGTAATGTTTTGAAACAGGATACCCACTAAAACAAACTTAGGAAAGGGGAGGGGGAATAAAAATAGACAGGAAGTTCTCCAGAGGTAAATATTATGAAGTATGTTACAAAGTAAACTGCTCAAATGCTGCCAAGGCAAGGAAAGCAAAATATAAATATTAAATACTTTTTAGGAGAGTCTCTAGAAGACATTTCAAAGCCATCATACAGAAAGGTTTTCTTCTGTCTGCTAAGAGTAGAGAAAAAGACCTGGAAAAACTCCTATTTTGAGGCACAAAATATGGATAATAATTAATGCAAAAAGAAGAAATGCCCTGGAAAAAAAAAAAAAACTTTCCATGGGGGGAGGGAGTGGGGAAAGAAGATGCACTGTTACACATAGAACACCCTGATTACCTGTTCCCTGTTGCATCTTGAGAAATCTGCAAGTTTGGCATAATTGAAGAAACACCATATTCATCCTGATACTTCTTACATGTTTTATAATGCTGTCTCATCCATGAAAATCTAACCTGAAAATAAAATGCCAAATTACTGAAATCATACTAAACAATCCAGGGATAGATAGAAGGAAGAGATAATTCTGCCAACAGAAAGCAATGCATGCAGGAATTATTTAGACTTCATGAGCAGCAGAAACCAGAAGTTGTGTCTCACTTCTGAGCATGAACACTTTCTTCACCAACAGGACATCTCCAATTCCTCTCTCCTGAGAGCCAGTGTCACTCTGTGAGACTGGAGAACATTGCCACTCAAACTCCTGGACATCTGAGAGCTCTCTCAGGGATTAGATGCAAGAAAACACCATTTAACTGAAACAAAGTCACTGGAACTACACCTCCCAGATCCAGGATCAATAGGTGATGAGCTACAACAGAGAGTGGCTGTGAGGATGGGATAAACACTACTGTTCCTTCAGTCTTCTCTGGCCTGCTGCTACCTCATGCAAGGAACATTTTCTTTTTGCATTAGGTGTGTTTGTTTACTCATTGGCAGGGAAGGGAAACAAATAGGTGAATGATCACCAGCTTAAGGCTGCCTATTGACCTTTAATTCAAATTAAGAGAATGAGTTGCTTGGATTTGCCAGAAGACAGTTGTGTTGGACATGCCCCTGAATTTCAGGTCCAACAGCACTGTCAGAAGGTTCTCACAGGTCTAGGGGCTGAACAAGATCATATCTCACATGCCTGTGCCTAAATTCCATTAAAGTTATTCTGTTTGGTTCTTCCATCCAGTTTACCAACTTGCAGTCAGTTTCTTTTTCCCCCCTTTTCATCCCAATGAATGATGTGGAACAATGTAAGCAGCTGAGGGCTCCATTAGTGCTGGTCTTCACATTGGCAGAAGTCCCAGGTGAAATATTCTGTTTGGTTCTTCCGTCCAGTTTACCAACTTGCAATCAGTTTCTTTTCCCCCCTTTTCATCCCAATGAATCATGTGGAACAATGTAAGCAGCTGAGGGCTCCATTAGTGCTGGTCTTCACATTGACAGAAGTCCCAAGTGAAATGAAACCAATGTAAAGACTACCTGGATTTGATGCATTTTGTTATAAACAAGAAATGTGGCTGCAATCCTGCATCTGTTTAGATAAAAAGAGACATAACTCTTGGTTTCAATGAGGGTCAAGATTTCACCCAGCGTTCCAAAAATAATGATCCCTTTAGAAAGGAATCGAAAGGAATGTAAAAGGACTGATGGGGAAGGAGGAAATTACACATGATTAATCATGTGGGCACTGCAATTAATCAATTCACATATCTTGGTTTTAAAATAAATTTTATAGCAGCTCAAAGCAGTTTCATTTCCATACTGAGAGTTTCTGAGGTTTTCCATATATCTGCAATTTCCATGTTCAGCTCCTCAACTTTCCTTTTGCCAGTTTTATAGCTATATCCATTTTTTCCATCTTTTGAGGGGAAAACCGGCAATCCACTTAAAATGCCTTTATTGACAATTCAAGATGCTCCTTCAGTTTACACCTGTTAGCTACAGCTGGCAGGCACTGCATGCCCAGTATATGAACAAGCCATACAAAGCTCAGTTCAAATTACTATAGGCTCTTGAGCTCCAAGATGAGAATGACACACAGTAAAGGCGTGTCTGGACAAAAACATGAACAATTTATTCAACTTTTTTTAAAGTTTTACTCTACCTGCTTCTCACAGCATCTACAGCCCCCAGAAGCTTTCTTCATACTGTTTTCAACATCTAGAGCCCTTTTGGGATACGTTCTTTCTTTTTTAGTCACGCTCCCCCGGCAGAGAGGACAATGTGTTCCACTTTCTCTTATAGCCGTCAAGAAGCACTTCCTGCAAAACCTAAATTGAAAAGTTACCACAAACACAGGTTAGCAAAATATACAGAGTTTAGTTACTTTGTCCTTGAAGAGAGACTGAAGATTGTTAGGGGAAAAAAAAAAAAGGAGCAGAGTAATAGTTTACCAAATACAAAGTTTGACATTTAAAAGAAACATGAAATAATGGTGCTTATGATAAAGTATATGGAAATCAGGGGAGCTTGGAAATGCACTCTAGATAAAACTCCTCTTATTTATTGACTGGTATTACCGAGCTGCATACCAGATTGATCACTAATGAGATATTAAATGGTGCAGCAAGCACGTGATTTTGGACAATCTTATCAGGGTAACTCCTGTTTATTGTCCTTAAGCAGAGCCAAAACCACTGCAAGGCTTCATTCAGCACGCGTTTCCAGAGACCTCAGGTCACCAGCTTTTACAGCTCTCCTTCCTTACGCACCAGCTGCCAAAGCTATTTTGCTTTTCTACAAAGTAGCACGTTGTAATCAAACGTCCCTCTGGAAAAAAAAATGCTGAATAGATGAACTGAAAAGAGAGAACAACTCACACTACCGTCCTTGTTCGAAAAGGAACGGGGAAAACCATGAAGTTAAAAACCGCGAGTTAGCTCAGACGGTACAGCAAAACTCCCCCACCGCCGAGCAGACACCCGGGGAGGTGGGGGGGCTCCTCCTCAATGACCGGTCCTCGTCGGCTACAAAAGAAAGAGGCGAGGGGAGGCTGGAGCAGCGCTGGGCTCGCATCCTCACCGCCAGCGTCTCCAGGCCGAGGGTCCGTGCGCCGGGAGCGGGGGGAGCCGAGGAGCACAAGGCGGAGAGCCGGAGGAATCGAGGAAAAGGCTTGGGAAGGGGCGGGGGGTCGGGATACCCACACGTGCTGGCAGTTGGCGGTCCTCACGGGCGTTTTGAACACCTCCTGGCACACCGGGCAGTAAAAATCATCCTCGCTGAAGCACGCCGGGGCCGCCGCGGCCCCCTCGGCCATGGCAACACGTAAGGGCCTCTCCGCCAGGATCGGGGACGACGAACAAGCCCCGCCCTGGCGGGCTGAGGAGAGCCCGGCCCCGCTTCGCTCCCGAGGGGCGCTGCCGGGGTCCGAGAGCGGATGGCTGGGGGCACCGGCGCCGGGTGGGATCCGGGCCGGGCTGCGGCGGGGCAGCGGAACGAGCCCGGCCTGCGCTCCGCCCGCCGCCCCTCGCGGCTCCTCCCGCCCGGCCCGAGCGGCCCCCGCCCCGCGCTCTACCTGGCGCTGCCCGCGGAGGAGGGACCCGGCAGCTCCGGCCGCGCTCCCGGCGGCACCCGGGGGGGCAGGGGCGGGGCCGGGGTTTCCATGGCGATCGCCTCCCGGCCCGGCGGGGCTGCTACGACACGGCCCCCGCTCCGCCCTGTCCGTGAGGCTTCCCCGCTCCGCCCACCGCGCTGCGCCCGCCCCGCCGCCCTTCGGCGCAGCAGCAGCGCTGCCGGACCGGCACGGGGGCAGAGCTCAGGCGCTGGGTTATTCCTGGGTGGAATTGTCCAGTCTCCCTGTACTCGGCACCCGTCAGGCCGCACCTCGAAGCCTGTGTTCGGTTCTGAGGCCCTCAGTCTAGGAAGGACACTGGGGTGCTGGAGCCAGTCCAGAGAAGGGCAGCAGCGCTGGTGAGGGGTCTGGAGCACCAGTGAGGGGCGGCTGAGGGAGGTGGGGTTGTTTATCCTGGAGAAAAGGAGGCTCCTTATCGCTCTCCGTCTGAAAGAAGGGTGTAGCCAGGTGGGGATCGGCCTCTTCTCTCCATTAACGGGTGACAGGACAAGAGGAATTAGCCTCAAGCTGTGCTGGAGGAGATTTAGGCTGAACAGCAGGAGGAATTTCTTCAGGGTGATCAAACATTGGAATGGGCTTCCCGGGGTGGTGATGGCATCAGGATTCCTGGGGATGTTTAAGAAAAGATGGTACTTAGTGCTGTGCTATAGCTGATTTGGTGGTGTTCGGTCATAGGTTAGACTTGATGATCTCAGAGGTCTTCTCCAACCTAACTGATGATAGAACTCTGTGGCTGGTTCTAGCGGTGATTTTATGGAGTAGTTTTAGTGGTATTACTGACAGTGGGGGCAAGTTTTCTGCCTCCTGACAAAAAAAAAAAAAAACCGAAACAAAAAAAAACCCAAAAAACCAAACCAAAACAAAAAAACTTAATTTAGTGGTATGATTGTGTTTTTCTTCCAGAATAAGAACTATAAAGAATATCTATCTAGCTGTATACTGATGCCAACAGAGTTCTGCAGGTGGAGAAGACTTTGGATCTGTTAAGCACATCTAGCACTGACCTCATCTGGACATAAATCTTGGCATATAAAAAAAAACCTAAAATGTTGAGAATGCTTTAAAAAGAAACAGATTTGTAGAGAGTATATCAACTATATTAATTTGTGAAGGTTGTAATCATAATAAATCTAAGATTCAGACTAGGCCTGGTCTTTTTTTGCTTAGAGATTATAGAATGGTTTGGGTTGAAAGAGACCTTAAAGACAATGTAGTTCTATCTGCTCTTCCCTGAACAGAGACAACTTTCACTAGTCCAGGGTGCTCAGAGCCCCTTCGAAACCTGGGCTTGAACACTTCCAGGAACTGAGCATGCACAACATCTCTGGGCAACCTGTTCCAGTGCCAGGACTGAGAGAAAATGGATCCTTCATCTTGGTTCCCCTGTCTCCTTGACTGCAGCTGTCTGTACCATAGATGTTCAGAGGAGATCTCTAGGTGGGCAGATTGCCCTCTCTCTGACCTGAGGTTAGACTTTCAGAAAAGAGAGTACAAAACATCAAGAGCTGTGGTTCACGTATTCTTTCAGACTCCAGCATTTCAAAACCAAATGAAAGCCTAAATGCTTTAGATATCCACCAGAGCTGGTTCTTGTAGCTGCTAGTGATCAGCAGCAAGAGACAATGCCCATGACACCATCTGGGTTCTTGGTTTGGAAGGGAGAGGGATCTGCAGGCACTGAAGCTGAAGCCAAGGTCTCTCTTCAGGTGAAGATGAGAGATGAACCATCCTGTGATTTTGTGAAGGATGTTCTTCTTGTTCAGTATGTGTCACAATGACTATTACCTATTAAGGTTAGTATCTTCCTAAAGGAGAGCAGAGACAGCACAACAAAAACCAATCACTGCCTGAATGCCTTCTTTTTAGACCACATGGAGACAAAATTTGCATGCCTCTAAGTACCAAGAGTTCTGAGACTCTCAAGGGAAGAAGCACTTCTAAAGCCTTTGGCCCAAAGTGAAGTAAGTTGCCTGGGCTGGGATATTTGCTGCCCATACTTCAGGTTGGGAGAAAATCTGGTGGAAAAGGCAGAACTCCTTGAGCAGGGATCTCCCAGGGGAAGACAGGCCTGGGATTTGAGATGCTGTGGTAAGTTGTCCTCTGGTAACCATGGCTGTGCTAGCTCAGGAGGTTACTGCTGTCCTGCTCTCATCCTGCTGATATGGGTTATCTGGACTGTTCATAGGCTGGCAAACCCCCTACTGTTTAAAGTGATTGATTATCTTCCATGGAATGGAGCAGGAAGCCAGACCAGTCAATCTGAGTGGGTGACTAGCAGCAGCTGGTGGCAGTAACTTCATCAGCACTGCAGGGACAGCCAGAAGAAGACACAGAGCTACACCTTAAGTGCTAAATAGCTGCTGTGTGCTTCTTGTACATGCTTGTGTCAGTGAGGATGACACCACGGCTGTATATCAGCTTCAGGGACACACTAGCCAGGCTGTGAAAGTACACGAAAAGGAAGAGTTGCAGAAGCCTCAGTTCAGATGCTACACAACTACCATTGGGGTACAGGCAGCATGGCCTTCAGCCTCAGCACATGGGAGGCTGGCAGAGATGGGCTCCCAAGTCTTACTCTTCTTGTAGGATTTCAGCAAAACAAGGCCTTATGCATCAGTTTCTCAATCTTTAAAAAGGGAGCAGATTTTAATCACCAAATAAGGCTGTTTGGAAGTTTAATTACTGCAGGTAAAGAAGGTTATGTCTTTTGAAGGCAGGTGTTAAACAAAAGCAAAGATTTATTACTAATGCAACATGATAGATCCATTTGAACTTTCTTCAGGAGACTGCAGTGTTTATTGATTAGTAGCTTTGGCAGGGGGAGAAATTGTGCAGCTGACTTCAGGGAAGTAAACTACAGGAAGGTGTCGGTGAAGGCATTCATGCTCTTGTTAACATTATTGTAAATCTTGATCCTTTAATAAAGCTGTGACCTTGGAGCTGACAACTGGTGCACTGTGGAGCAATATAGAGCATGGCACAAGCCTTGTAAATCTTACGTAGTTTTTGCCATTCACATAAACAACATGTAAAGAGAAATCAGGCAGATGAAGTTTATGAAACACATTTATTTGAAGGAGAGCATTTTAAATCAGACTTTTTAGATGAAATGAAACCAATGGCCCTTCCAACTTTTTATTCCTTGTGATAAAATGTGTTTGTGAAATGAAATCTCAACAGTGAAAACTTTTAGAACTGCTTGTAAACTACTGTTTGCAGGGGTAAACGGACACTCAAAAAGCACATTTTAGATCACCTTGCACAACTATTGTACAACTTTGTAGAAATACTTTTGTACAACTATAATTCTGTTGCTTTCTTGACAATGCTGGTGCAAGAACAGCCCATCTACTTGCCAATATGAAAAATGCAGAGATTTGTTCTGTGGGAGCAGTCAAAGATGGATGTGAGCAGAAGGGGAAAGAGACAAAGCTGTGTAACTGCAGAGAGGTTAAAAGGTGCCATGTGCAAGGGGAAGGACATCTTTTTTGCTCTTGCCAGGTGTATCTGCAAACACTAGCAGCCACAGACAAAACTAAGGACAACACTCCTACAGCTTATTTCATACAAGTAAAAAGTTTTTTGGATGTCCAGGAAGCAATAAATCAACTTTTTCGCTGTGTTTTAGGTTACTGTGCTCTGGCAAACTAGATGTGTTTTTAGTTACACAAATCTTCCCACCATATCAAGCAACACCTTTGGAACAACACTGTCCATCTTTTCTGGCTGAGGAGTTTTCTTTTGCAAGGGCAGTTTTCAGAGAAAATGAAGGCAACTTTCCTAGGCACATGACACATTGAACCATTCTTTTCCCAAAAAGGAGCCATTTTCTGATTCCAAAACCTTAAGTGTAGAGGGCAGTTTCCTTGTTAATATGTTACCAGGTAAGTAAAGCTGCTCTAATCACTGTATATGCTTCAATGAATGAACATGAATTTAAATTTTTTACAGATCAAATGCATCTTTGAAAGATACTATGCTATACTGTACATGTAAAAAAATGGACATGCTTTTTTAAACTTACACAGTAAGAATGGAGATTAGTTAAAAGATTCCATTCTCTTGAACAGAGTTCAATTTTTTCTTATTATAAATAGAATATTCGCTTCTTGCTATCCTTTCAAAATAGCTTTCCTTTAACCAACTTTGCTTATTTTAAGTCTCATCTTGCACTGTAAATGGAAACTTATGTGCAGCCCTTGGCAGTGGGTAGTACACACAGCGCTGTTTAGAGGGGGGATTTGTTCCAATTTGTTTGGTCCTGTTGCATCTGAAATGCTGCTGTTTGTCATCTACCTCCAGCATGGCATTGTCATCCTCAATACACACAAGATTGGCCTGCTCCTGGAATGGAGCTGCAGACAAATAGGAGAGGCTGCTGTAAAAGCCAGTGTGCCTGTATACTGTACACATTAAAGCATTAGCTCATATAAAGGTGCAGACTGCATAGACTCTGTGTGAATGTTTCCTTTAATTTATTTGGGGTTCTGTCTCTTAGATGATCGTGGTTAAAGTGGTGAAAACTAAGCTGCAGTGTTAAAGGGAACTGAGTGTGTTCCCCCCATCCCACCCACTGTGAGAAATGGGAGTGCTGGTTGATTTGTCTACAGGTCCTTGAGACTGTAACCTCTCTAAAATACCTCTTCTGTGAAATGTGAGAGTCAGAGTCTAAAATGCCATGGCAAATAATCATCAGAGAAGTAAATTATGTTTATCAAGATCCAAGTCTACACCCTGTTGACCTCAAACCTACAAATGGTGTCAGTAAGACCCCACAGCTTCCCTCCATGGGCATTCAGAATTAAGCCATTTATGTGAAATTATCAAAACTTAGAAAAAAAAAGTTAACCCTCCCACCATGACAGAGTCCTATATAAGACCACATAAGCTGTTTTCAAATTATAACTTCAAAACCCAGACAAGAAGTTATAATACATACTTCCCATTTCTACACATGGGAAGTAGAAATGGCACGTGCTGGATTTAAAATCAGGCAAGCCACTGAACAATGCTCTTTGACCTGGCTGTAAGTAACTGTTTGTTGTAACCATAATAAGACTTACTACACATTTTCAGTGGTCCAACGAGCACTCACAATGACAGGAGTGCCTCAATTTTAAATATTATATGCATACCTGCTTGTCTAAGAGAGATGGGGAGGGGGAAAAAATATAGGTACATTTGTCCTCTGCTGTCAAAATCAATTAAACAATTAATACACTTTCTCTATTATTTCCTATCAGCAATGGTTGCTAGAATCAATCAGTTTAATGTGGAAATTCAGTAAAATAATATGCTTATGTACATTACTGCCGCTGTCCCTTCTGATCTGTGGTGCATGAGACATGGCCCGTTAGCTCACCCTCATCAACTTTGCTTGGGCAATAAGGAAAAGAGGATCTGGGAATAAGAAGTACTATGTTTTTAGTGGATACTGAGTACGTGATACATTTTTGTTACTACAAACTATAAAAGAATTATTGAGATTGCTTTGGCCAGACATCGTAAGGATCCTTCTTTTGCCAGACTGCAGCACGGGTGTGTAACAGGCACCTGATGTATGTTATGCTGGCAAGAGGTCAGCCTTGCTAATGGATGCTGCACAGTTCTCTGCCAGCATGTCAGGATATCGATCCAGAAAAGCACTCAACTTATGTTATGGTTATCCATGACCTTAGGGAAGAACAGATGAAAATACTGATCACTACCACTACAGGCATTTTCTGAAAGCATAATTTAATCGCTGTGATATTCTTGGAGCAGGCGTGACCAAACTATCAATTCTCAGGAGTGCTCATTGAGTATTGACACCTCTTAGCAGAGGACTCCTACTCATTTTTCAGTACAGAGCATGGTCCTTTTGCATGGTGGAGACAATTTTTCAGCTCAGTGTAATTTTCAAATGTATGTGGACAAATGTTCAAGTTTTTCTGAGCATCAGAACAGTAACCAAAAAGGAGATAAGTCTGTCTTCAGCAACCTGAATAGCATGTCATTTAGGAATTTACACAGCAAAGAGTATAGGGACTTT